TGCATCAAAATGATTGAAAAGAAATTTGTACCACCACCCAAGACTTTGTGACTAATTTGAAGTTCTCACCACCAGGGCATTCACGACTTCTGGTTTTCTTTTTTTCACATCGACTAATCTGACAATAAAGTCAAAGTTTCATCGACAAGAAAATTGTGACTTCAGTACAGAGGATGAACTAGAAACACACACGTCCAGCAATGAGCATGAAACTCACTGTACACTACTTTTGCTGATGAAGAGAACGCAGCAAACTGATGTGTTTTCATATAAATTCTTCTTCCGCAGATTACGATAGGTTGAGTTGTACAAGCGTAAGAAAGAACAACACGACTTCATACCGCTCATGTCGATGCCCTACTCCACACAACCACTAGAGTTTCAAGAGCCTTGAAATGTTATGCTATCTTGTTTTAAAAAACCCAACACTTTTCCCCCTTCCTTTAGGTTTTCATTTCAAAGAAAGACCAAAAGCAAAGAGTTTGAATTGGTTTGAATCTAAACATTTTCATTCCCACCTGTGGGGGACAAACACAAGGAAACCTAAAAAGCAGTGTTGGTAAATGTGGTTTAGTATGAGTCAGTTACTACAGTGATCCAGTCTAAACCAGTATATACTAATCCAACCAATCAGGTCTGCTGTTTTACCAAGAGAATGTCCTAATCCAGTGATTCTGGCTTTGAGTCAGTTTTCTGGGCGATTCAGAAACGACTTCCTCTACTATGTCACGTGCAGCGCTTGACTGAGTAAACAAACAGTCACCAGAGCAGACACACCTGTGACATTTGAGAAACAACCGGTTCATATGGTATTGATCACATCAGCCATGTCGAGCAGAAGGTCCTCTGAGATTTGACTCGGCGCCAGTCTCCTCCCAAGGACGCTGCTATTGTCTTGGACTGGAGTCTGACCTCATTGGCTCAGTGGGAGCCAACTTGTTTTGTCTGATTTCATCTCAACAACCTTTATTGCGTCGGTGTTTTGGTTTATGTTTCGGTTTCTCCTCTCTCCAAAAGCATTTATTTTTCTTCTCCGGTTTTGTTCCCAAGTTTTTGTTTTCCACTTACAGGAGGTGACATCCCACAGGAGGCAATAACAGTCCATTCTATTTCACAATTACTGTGATCATCAGTGTAGGATGGTGCAGCAGCTGGGACAAATAAATCAAAGCTGTGGGAGCAGAGTCGACGGAGTTGTACCAAGGACCCTGACAGTAGATTAGTGTTGTCGCTGTCTGTGCTTTTACAAAAACAAGGCCTGTCTTCAACATTTATAAGCTGAAGATGTGTTCGTGTGAATGGTTGAAGTTCTAAAGATGTGGCTGGTGAAACTGTTACTGATACTGACATCATGACTAACACTTTATTCAAATACTCATCCTCGTAAAAACAAGCTCGCCATTCCATCAACCCAGGACTCTGTAACAGCATTTCATGTCATCCAGCTGCACACTGGTCAACCAGTGGGTAGTTTAATTAAGTAGGTCAACATCATCAGCAGTTTTGAAGATTTTTTTCATCAGGGACGAAGACCGGAGAAAAACTTACTGAGAGATTTATTCTCTTAGAAGACGAGGAATTTGATGGAACACCTGAAGACGGTTTTAGCACTGGATATTTAAGGTCCTTCAGTGTTAATAGATCCGTCTCTTTTTCATTAAGATGTCCAGTATTTAACCAACATTGTGTGAGTGGATTTGTGCAAATGAAACATGAAACTGAAAACAGCAGGATATTTAGTTACTGTATATTTATTCAGCAGAAATGAACTAGTGATGTACAAAGCTCTGCTCACTTTCTGGTCAGTCAGCACAGTTAGTTATGGAGGTTCGATTGGAAGTTTAGTTTTTAAATGGGTTTATTTATTTATTTATCATCAGTTTTTCTTAGCAGTTGAAAACGAATGGACAGTTAGAGAAAGTTCATCTATCCATTTTGACCAAATGTCTGCAGTCCTCTGTTGCTTCGGCTGGTGTTAGATAGTGAAACTTCTGTAAATGCCATTTTAAATGCCACAGACAACACAACTGAAAAGGCTGGTACAATCAGTTTACACGTAGAGAAAGAAGAACAGTTCTTCCCACTGATGTTCCATGGGCAATTTGTAAAAGGTTCAAATCCTCTTCCTCTGGGGATCTCAGATGTGATGAGGGAGCAAGGTGGGATTCAAACCTGCTATCCCAGATAACCTGATCTTCTTACCACTTGTCCACAGCTTTGTGATAAAAGCTAAGACTGAAACTGTGATCAGAGAAATCACAGTGACTTCATTTGATTTGCAATTCACTGAGAATGACAAAAGAAATCCTTGATGTTTGGCCAGGAAGTCAACAAAGCGGCAATAATAGAATGTTCCAAACTTGTCAGAGTGACGTCATTGGTCAGAGCTGGTTGGTTGACAATAAGGACATAACACTTTTACTCCTTGTACTTCCATCGATAAACGCAGTATTTATTTTACCACTGTACTGTTGCCTGGCAGCAGTGGTTGTGACTAAGAAACACATCAGTCACTCCTCCTGCCTCTGTGTGTGAATGGCACCAAAATACTTGAAGGAATGACTTCCCCTCTGTGATAGACAGAATCCTTTTCTGTTTCCTCGTGTCATGAATGCTCAGCCTGCCTGTATGTGTTTAATCCACCAGGACGGTTCGACATACGGTTGAAGGGCTGGAGCAGTACTGTAGTAGATGACTTTAAACGCAGTACAACTGCACACCTATACACAGTTAACAAACCCCAACATCAGGAATATTTAAATCCAGATCAGCACATCCTGTTTTTTTATATTTTTATTCTGAAAAATGAGTGTGATCGGTAATTTAATCAGAGTCTTTTCATTGAATCGTTCCAGGCTAACAGCAGGCTGATCTTAGCATGTAGCCCTGCAATATGAATCAGCACAAGGCAGAAAGAA